CAGCATTGAAACACGTATATTATCTAGGGTGAAACAGTTCACCAGCCCAGGTTGGGTGCATGAGACAAGTGCTCGGGCCTGGTGCACTGGGAAGACCCAGAGGGATTGGGTGGAGAGGGAGGTGGGAGGGGGGACCGGGATGGGGAATACATGTAAAAAAAAAAAAAAAAAAAATACACTATGGTTGTGATAAAAAATAAATAAATAAATAAATTTTTAAAAAAATAAATAAATAAAATTAACGTTCCTAATATACTACATCTAAAAACAAGAGCACAGAGAAATAATTACAGGTCATCAAACTATTTCTGAGTTTTTCCTGAAGATGAATGGCTTTCCAAAATATAAAACTTAGGTTACATTTAATCCAACTTAAAAATTAAACGGCTAAGGTAAAAACTTCATTGTAAATTTAAAAAGTCATAAGATTATGTACAAGAAACTGTGTCACTACTGATTCATTCATTTTACTCAAAAACACTTACTGAGGGCCATATAATAATAGACAGGTCCTAGAAATACAAACAGACAACACTGCCCATAAAAAGCTCATGGTTTGGTAATAAAATGATTAAAAAGTAATGTCATAACAACATTATACATTAGGCATGATTTGATAACTAATCTCTAAAGATGGCCCCAATAAATCATGCTTTCTATGATCCAGACCTTTACACCTTTATTCATTCCCATAATGAATCTGGGCTCGCCCGGTTTGATTCCCTTTAATCAACAGAACATGGCAGAAGTAACACTATGCCAACCTGGGGCCTAATCTCTGAGGATGCAGAAGCTCCTACTTTTGTGCTTTCAGGAGCCATGGCCTGCTGCTCGCCAGGAAGTCAGGCTAACCTTGCAAAGATCAGCTGGAGGAGCCTTGGAGAGAGAAACGCTCAACCAAACCATAATCTGAATCAAACCTCCAGATGACCCTTGCCCCAACTGCTATCAGACTCTGACTGCATGGAAGACCTGAAGAATATGCTAGAAGAACCTCTCACACAGCTGTGAAAGATAATAAGACTATGTTTAAGCCACTAAGTGTTGGAGTGGCTTGTTCTACAGCAACAGATAAAAAACTTGATACAAGACATTACAAGAGGAAGAGCGTAAATCTGCCGGCAGTGATGTTTCATAAAGAGATAAAGCCTCAAGTATACCTGAAGGGTAATAATTAAGCGTGTAAACCTTCTAGGCAGACAAAGAAGTACAAAGGCAAGGAGGCATTAGAAGGCAAGTATTAAAATAAGAAAAAGACCATCAGCAGAACTGGGGTACTCAGTAGATGGAGAGGAAGAGGAAGAGATATCAAATCATAAAGGTCTTGTATATAGGCTAAAATGTTTAAATGCATCCCATACGCAAAAAGAAGTCATTAAGAGATTCAGGGGAGTCCTGTGATAATGTCTAGGTATCAGAGAGAGAACTTTGTTAACAGCGTGAAGAATGAAGAGAGCTGAGTCTAAAGGCAGTGTGATCCGTTTAAAGCAATGTCAAAAAAAATTAAGATAATTGAGTAGAACCTTCAAGATTGGTCCAAACAGGATGAGAAACAAATGGAGCATAATGGAACCAAACTATAGCCTGGAGCCAAGCCCACCTGAGTCACGCCCAACTGACCCACATAACAAGAATATTCAGAGGAAAAATACACGATTGTTTTTCTAAGCCCCTGATTTTTGGGGTGCTTTATAGCATTATTATGACAAAAGCTGCCTGAGACAGGACATATGAAGTGTGCCTGCCTGAAAGACTGTTCTGAAATTTGGGTTCACACAAGGTGCTCAGGAACTACAGTAAGCAGAACATGGCAAGCACTCATTCAGTGTTTATCTTTATTGTTGACAGTCCATTGTGTACTAAATAGACACTCATTTGTGGTTGTCCAGTTTGAAACTGGGTTTGGGTTGAGTAGAAGTTTCACAGTACCACTAGGGTAGTATGTAGTACCATAGGTTAATGGGAGAAAGGAAGACAACAGCTAAAGACAGAACCTGTGGAACAGCTGTCACCTGCTCCTTTTACTCCTTCCACAGTCTAATCTCCAAACAACTGCCAGAAGGAGTTTTTAAACCAGATCATAGCAACTCGATTCCATGGGCAGACAAGCCTGGCAGGCTATGCAGTCCTGGTGGGGCCACAAAGAATGGGACACTACTGGGTGACTAATACTTTCACTTTTCCTATCAACCCCCTGTTCAAAACCCTTCAAAGGATTCCCACCATATACGGGGAATCCAAGTCCTTCCATGGGCTCTACAGCTCTGCACAATCCTGGCCAGCCTATCTTGTTGACCTCATCTTCTGCCTCTTTCCCCTTTATTCTATCTGTTCAGATCACACTGGTTTACTCTTGCGGTTTGTCTAACAGGAGAAATTTTGGGCCTTAAACACGTTTTTCCTTGCTATGAATAGTCCTTCTCCCACAGGTTGATCATCTTTCCTTAAAACACTTATTTGTACTTGACATTTTGTCTTTGTTTCTCCCTACTAGATGATTAACTCTGTGAGGGCAGGGACTTCCTCTTGTTCACTGCTGTATCCAATATCTACAACAGTGCAAGGAAGGCAGTGTTTCTCAAATGAACAACTAAGAACATCACTTAAAGGTCTGGCAGGTCAAAATGAGCAGTTTCTTAAAGTGCTTCAAACTCAAGTTCAAAAGCCTTTAAGTAATGTTTAATTCAAGTTGTAAACATAAAAGTATGCTCAAGCTAACATGCTTTTCAAGCTCAGCAAGTACCATGAGGCATCTTTTTGTCACACAATAATAGCTAAGTACAGCATCTTTGCTTTACAACCAGCCAATAACCTAAGTTTAAAAATCAGTCCAGAGAACATTTTCAGAATAAAACAATGACTAGAGCCTGAAGAAGTATAAATACCATGACCACACTGAAACCAGAAAAATTTCAAGGACTCAGATGAATTCACTTATTTTCTATTCGTGGGAAACAACGGACTGATTAACAGTTTCAGTGAAAATATGAAACCAGCATTTTCTCTCTACATTCTTATCCTAGTAATCTCTGTATTTTTTAAGAGAAAAAGCTACCCAACAATATTTAGATCAGTGGCTCTCAAACATAGCTAATATCAGATTCAGGGAGAGTATTAAATATGCTCTCAAGGTCCCACTGGCAAACATTACAATATTGTAAGGAGGGAAGAAGAGAATTATGAATTTAACAGGTGACTACAATGAAGGTGAACCAACAATTCATTAAAAAAATACTTCCAATTTAGAAAATCTACAGAAGTAGAACCAATGCTCCCAGTCAACTTCAAACCAAATCCTAAAATGATCTAGATATTAGCTTTTGAGTTTTTTTTTCCCTTTTATAAATGTAATTGAACTAAATTACAAAACATATGAGAAACAAATGAAAAACAAGTCAACACCATCTTGCCACTCCAACACAACTTTGGTTAGCATTTCAGTATATTTCCTCTCTCCCTTTCTCTAAGTATATCTTTGCTGTTTCTTTTCTCAGTTTTTAATTACTGTGAGCACTGTTTCAAATGCTAATTATACACATTTTTTTTCCCACAATAATGTTATTATCTAGTCTTCATGACTATCATACTTAGTAGCTGCACTCCCGCTAAGTCACTTCAGTCAACTCTGCAACCCTATGGACCACACCCCGCCAAACTCCTCTGTCCATGGGATTCTCCAGGCAAGAATACTGGAGCGGGTTTCAGTGCCCTCCTTAGCAAATGCACCACATGCCATCAGATGGACCTATCACTGTTAAAACCATTCCCTCTGCTACACTACTTCCTCACTACTATAAATAGTCCTGCTTAAATATTGTTGTGTGGAACATTTTCAGTACTTGAATACTTCTTACCTGTGGGGAAAACAATCTACAATGCCAAACTGTTTTCCTACCACCTTTGCCAGAAAGGGCTTGCCAGATGTTATCTTCACAAAAAAAACCAAAAAACAAAAACTGGAGGGTTTGTAAGGAGAGGAAAAGTACTGTACTTTTAATTTGCACTTCTTTAATTGCTAATGAGGTTAAACACTGGCGCCAATTGTATTTTTTCTTCCCTAAGTTATCTATCCTGTCCTTTATTAATTTTTTAATGGGATTTTGGTATTACTTTTCTACCTGTGTTAACTTTGTATTCCATTTCCTACTGATCTTCCTGAGTGAGCTGTGAGCCTTTGTGGAGAACTTATCTGTTCCCTGACCTACCTGTTATGCCTCAGTACCATCCAAGACCGTTGTTTTAACAATACATTTTATTTCGGCAGCTAAAACCATCTCATAATGAAACACACATGGTCTCTGGTATGGGCTGGCTCTGTTACCACCGTCAAGTTACTTGACTTCCCTGGGCCTCAGTCTCAGTAAAACTGTATAAAACAATACTTACACCTTCCTAAATGGACTTTTGTGAATAACAGCTAATAATGCCAGACTATTAGCTCCCTCCATTAAATAATATTAATCAGAAGTCAACCTTCTATCCTCACATAATCAAAAAGCCAATTCTAACACAGATAGGGAGATTAGTTTTTTTTAGCAAACATAATCTTGTCTGCAGGAATGCAAGCTAGCTAGAACAAAACTTACTTCTTTAGATGTTCACTTTCCTGGATCATGACAACTAATATTAATGAAAAAGGAGTAAGAATTAAAAAATAAAATGAAATTTAAAGGTCATCGGTCTTCCAAGACTATGCAACTACCCCTCTCGCCCAACAAAACCCTAACACGTCGCAAATACGCCATCAGGGCGACCTGACCCAAACTCTTTTCTCATCACGTCCCTAATTCCCTACCCTGGGCGAAACCCCGCTACTGGGAACGGGAAAACGCACGCTGTTGGGCCCCAGACACTAGTATTTACCCTGACGACAGGCGGGCAGCCGTCCGGGCTGACCAATGTGTTTTGACCTCCCCGCGCATCACCGACGCGGGAGAAAACTGAGGCCGGGGGGTAAACAGAGCCTCGCCCAAAGTCACGGCCCGGCAGCCGCCCCTCACCTCAGCAGCGCCAGGAAGGCGGCGGGCTCCACGTCGGGCAGCTCGATCTCGGCCGACGTGGTGGCCATGCCGCCGTTGAACATGGCGTCGAAGACGGCGCTGCCGGCCGCCAGTACGAAACGGTGGGCCGGGATGCGCTGCGGGCCCCCGGCAGCGCCGCCGCCGCCGCCGCCGCGGCCCTTGCCCAGCACGAAGCGCACATCGCTCAGGAGCTCCGAGTTGAAAAGGAAGGCGAAACGCTCCTTCAGCGACGCCTTGGTCGCCTGCCAGTTGTACAGCGGCTCCCGCTTCAGGGGGAGCAGGGGCCCTAGAGAGGAAGTCGACGGCGGCGGCGGCCCCGCGGCGCCCAGCTCCGCTTCAGCCCCCGGGACCTGCTCGCCCGTAACTGCTGGTCCAAGCGAGGCCATCCTCTAGCGGCGCGGCTCCGCGGGCTAGAGAAAGCGATGCCGCCGCCCAACCGCCATCGCCGAGGCCGGCGCCGCCTCCCTACCTTCCGGGAAAGGCGCTTCCGGAGGCCGCGCGCCTCCGCCGCCCCTCCCCGAGCTGTCAGGCGCGCGTCCCCGCCGCGAGGCTGGGAGGCGGAGGCGCGTCCCCGCCGCGGGGCCGCCCCAGCTAGCTCCGGCTGGGGCGGTACCCTTTGCGAGGTGCCCAGCGCTCCCAGAGGTGGGAGTTCTACCCGGGCTGAAACGCTGGGCCCTTCTTTCCCTTAGGCCCCTCCTCACCAACTGGAGCGCCTCCCACTTGTATCCAAGACGAGTTCCTAGGCTCTCCTGGGAGTTTCAGGTCTGGAAGAGGAGGAGGCGGAGGGCATGGCCAAGAAAGGTTGTAAGAAGGAAGAAGGTGATTTCACGTGGCCCCCTCCTCTAGGAATCATCTTAGTCACCCCTCCAGAGGGGCAGCGTTCCTATGGTAATACTGGGAGCAAGCGTGGAGCCCTTCTACGTCTAACAGTCTCGCCCTTTCCTCCTCCCTCTTCTGCCTCTATTTTTGGTATCTATATAGATCAGGGATTCTTTTTTCTTTCCTTTTCTTCTTTTTAAAATGTGTTTGAATGACCAAATTTGACCGTATTCTAAATCAAAAAACAAACAAAACCCCTCAAAGGTACCAAAGTAAATTAGGGAACCCTTGGTGGTTCGTGGTAAAGAATCTGTCTGCAATGCAGGAGACCCAGGTTCGATCCCTGGGTCGGGAAGATCCCTTGCAGAAGGGAATGCAAGTATTCTTACCTGGGAAATGCCATGGACAGAGGAGTCTGTCAGGGCTACAGCCCACGGGGTCGCCAAGCATCAGACAGAACTGGGCAACTAACACTTGTATCTGGTAAGGGACAATAAAATCATAATTTAATAGCAAAATAAAGACACTGCATTATCAAAGCTTGTGGAATGTGATAAAAATTGAGTGCAAAGAATAGCCAAAAGCACTTCTTGGCCAAACTGAAAATAAAAATAAGTGAATTCGAGGATTCTGGGAAGATAGCAGAGTTCGGATCACCAGGAGTCTGTCTTCCCACGTAAACAATTTCACTAGCAGAATCTGTTTGCTGTACTTATTTTAGAACGATGGACTCTGTTGAAGGCTGGTAACTTCTAGCGGAAGACTTGGACAGCAAATTGCTGTTGATTTCGATCAACTTCAGCTCTTTGCACAGCAGCAGCTACGCATCCTCCACCACCAGCCACATGGTAGTACACAGCTCTGTCAGCTACAAATGGCACTTGCCATCTGCCTCCTCAAGGATCAAATTATGAGCCACTGCAGCTACTGATGTTCAACACCCCATGAAAGGAGTTCAGGGTGGAGATCAGGAATGAAGCCCTCTGTGCTCTGGGAAAAACTGGCCAAACAGGTCTTCAGATAGATATTTTCAGGAGATGATTTTATGAGCCCAATCCTTGCCTCTCCTTGTATCTAGAAAAGCACTAAAATCCTTCATGGTGATGTCTGCTCCTCGTGAATAACAGTAACCTTCTGCAAAATATATGTCCTTGATTGCATGTATTCCTCCCTTCACCAAAATCACATCTATATTGACTGCCCCTCCACCACCCCTCCACCCCCTACCATGCCTCTTTGGAGCAGTTTCTCAAAGCTCTCTGAAATGCTGTCTCCCGGGCTGTAGCCCTCATTTTGCCCCAAATAAAACAACTTACAACTCTCACATTGTGAGTTTTTTTCAGTCGACAGCTTGTAGGAGCCAGGGAGGGCAAAAAGGCACCTATCCTCCAAATATTGGGGATCTGTACTCAAGAGGATTTCTGTTTCTGAACACAAAGGCACAAAGAGGGGGAGCTATTGTTGTTGGGGGTACCTCTCTCCACTGCTGCAGGATGCTTTAGCTGAAGTGACTTCCAGGGGTTTTAAAGGAACAGCACCCTTCCCCACCCCTCCTTCATTTTCACTTTTTCCCTTTTGTGGAACCAGGTATTATAAAGACTAGTGTATTAAAAAGCAACAGTACACATGGGAAAAGTTAGAAAGTGACCATACATGCCCAGGGAACGGCAGAGAAAATGCCTGAGAAGACCTTAAGTTTACACCTCAGGCAGGTCCTTGGCAAAGAGACAGATTTTAAAACAATCAATGCAGGAGACATGGGTTTGATCTCTGCTCCAGGAAGATTCCACATGCCGCAGGGAAGTTAGGTTCAGGTGCCACAACTGCTGAAGCCCAAGTATTTAGAGCCCAGGCTCCACAACAAGAGAAGCCATGGCAATGAGAAGCCTGTGCACCGCAACTAGAGAGTAGCCCCCACTTGTCTCAGCTAGAGAAAGACTGCTTGCAGCAACAAAGACCCAGTGCAGCCAAAAATAAAATCAATCAATAAAATTAATTAAAAAATTACTTTAAAAAATAGAAAACCCAGGGGGAAAGGAGAATCTGATTTCCAAAGTTACCATATTACTAGACTCAAATGTCCAGTATCCAACAACAACAAAATCACAAGTCATACAAAGAAATAAATGTTTATTTGACCCATGCAAACAAACAAACAAATAAATCAGTAGAAAGAAACCACTTCTACAAAAGACCTAATGGCAAATATACTAGACAGACTTTAAAACAACTATTTTAAAGATGGTTAAAGAACTTAAGAAAATGTGGATAAAATCAAGAAAATGATGTGTGAACAAAATGGAAGTCTCAATAAAGAGATAGGAAACCTGAAAAGAAACCAAAAAGAAATTCCAGAGCAGAAAAGAACAACTCAAATAAAAAATTCACTAAAAGAATTTAAAGGCACATTTGAGCAAGCAGAAAAAAAAAAAAGAATCAGTAAATTTCAAGATAAGACAACAGAAATTATCAAGCAGAGACAAGAAAGCAAAAAACTTGAAGAAAATCAGACAAAAGAAAAGCAAAGAGCCTAAGAGAACTAGGGACTTGCCTGGCGGCTCAGATGGTAAAGAATCTTCTTGCAATGCAGGACACTTGGTTTGATCCCTGGGTTGGGAAGATCCCCTGGAGAAGGAAATGGCAACCCCACTCCAGTATTCTTGCCTAGAGAATCCCATGGACAGAGGAGCCTGGAGGGCTATAGTCCATGGGGTCGCAAAAAGTCAGACACCACTGAGCGACTAACACTTTCACTTTAAGAGAACTACGGCCCCTCATTAAACAGTGTTGTGGGAATCCTAAAGGGAGAAAAGAGAGCAAAAGGGGCAGAGAGAACACTTGAAGAAATAATGGCTGAAAACTTATGAAGCAAAAACTGACAGAATTGAAGGGAGAAATAGATGGTTCTACAGTAATAGTTGGAGGCATCAATATCCCACTCACAGTAATGGACAGAGCAACCAGAGAGAAGATAAGTAAGGAATAGAGGACTTAACATAATAAACTGACTAGATCTGACAGACATATACAGAACACTTCATTCAACAATAGCAGCATGCACATTCTTCCCAGGTGCACGTGGACTATGTCTTCTCTGACCACAGAGAGATGAAGTTACAAGTTAATAGCAAAGGGAAAACTGGGGAATTCATAAAATTGTGGAAATTAAACAACATACTTTTAAAATATTTATTTTTATTTTTTAAATTTACTTGGCTGCACAGGGTCTTAGTTGCAGCATTCGGGATCTAGTTCCCTGACCAGGAATCAAACCCAGGCCCTTTGCATTGGGAGTTCAGAGTCTTTGCCACTGGACCACCACGGAAGTCCCAGACATTCTTACTAAGTTATTTATAACTTAGAGAATTCTTGCTAAGATTGAGTTAGGCAGGCCAAAGACAGGCCTGGGACCACAGCTGAGGCACAGTGGAGAAGTAGGCTCAGAGGAACCTGACTGAAGTTTGGTCAAGGAGACTTTGTCAGCAGTAAATAATAAATATTGCAGATAAGACTTGAGGGACTAGGGTCCTAAAGAGAAGGGAAGCACATGAGATTTACTCCTGCTTTTTCCCTGAGGGTATTTTCTAATTTATTGCTTGTTTCTTAAGCAGAAACATCTTTCCCAGTGACTCAGATGGTAAAGGATCTGCCTGCAATGTTGGAGACCCAGGTTCAATCCCTGGATCCAGAAGCTCTCCTGGAGAAGGAAATGGCAACCCACTCCAGTATTCTTGCCTGGAGAATTCCATGGACAGAGGAGCCTGGAGGGCTATAGTTCATGGTGTTGCAAAGAATTAGACACAGCTGAGCAACTAACACTTTCACTTTCTTAAGCAGAAAGAATTCAAGAGACAGACTATGAAACTGCCATTGTTGGAGCAGAGTCCTAGAAAAGAGGGAACTTTGAAGATTTTCCCTTCCTAAAAGGGAACCCCAAAATCATCATATAAATTCTTCATGCTATTGGATAATTTCTGAGTTGTGCATGTACAAGGAGAAACAATAGCAGCTGAGAGAATAGAGATAAGTAGAGACTTCACATGTGCTACAGTGTTAGGGAGACAGAAGTTTTAGTTCAAGCTCCACTAAAATGAAAGAGTCTTAGTAATTAGATTGAGATCTCATAAGGACGTGCCTTAGAAGAAAGGGTTACACGCTAGTAATATGAAAAAAATTAGCTAGCATAAAACCAGTCTTTTGACAGGGTCACGGTGACGTGTAGGAGCTGCTGCAAGGAAATTCAATCCTATTTGAAGAAAGATATACCATCCAGAGACTCAACATTTTTTGTTCTACAATGTTGTCAGGGAAAAAATGAAAATTATGAGCCATGTTAAAAGAGAGAGAGAGAGAAGGATAAAGAAGAGAAAATAGAAATCAGTTACGGATGATTAAGTTCTATGGACAACAGACTCAGTTCTATGGATAAATCCAATCAGTTCTATTGGATTTATTAGGCAAGGACTGTGAAATAGCTATGATTAATATGATGAAGAAAACAGAAGATGGAGAATTTCACCAGAAAGTTAGAATCCATGAAAAAAGAGTCAAAGATTCTTGACTGGAA